TTGGGTGATTTGCCCAAGGTCACAGAGCTAACAAGTGATGGAGACAGAATTCACCGCTGGATTTGGCCACTCCCTTAACCACTTAGCCCCCTGGACACCCCTCTTCCCACATTCACACTCATACATTTGGACTCGAGTTTCAGCCTGGCTTCTTCTCCACAGACCTTCCTCTGCAGCTGTAGCAGCCACAGAAGAGAACTTCTGCTAAAACTTTTGTGGTTTTTATTTGGAAGATGGGTTATATGCCCTGGTCAGGGCTTGTGCTGGATCCCATCTCCTCTCCATTACAAACTCTTATGTCCGTGCCCTAAAAATGGCCCCTTGGCGCTGATGGCGATACATTGATCATGGCCATTTAATCTCACGTGCAAAGGCAGAGGTTTGGGGACACACTCTTTTCTGTGAGTTTGGGCTGCAGGCTCTGGGCTTGTAAATCTCCCCTGGCACACCAGTGCTGGGGGTGCTAAGAAGAAGCATTATTTATGAATGGGATTCTCTGGCATTCTGCCTCAGATTAATTGCTTTCAATCCTATTTAACAGAGGTCCAATGTGTCAGTGGTGGAAAAATGAATCACAGCCATACCACTTCAATGAGGGAAAAAAATCCAAAGAGGCATGCATCTTTCTGAAAGGTCATTGTGTAGGCAGGCCGGCGGGTCCCTGTTGGGGCACAGAACGGTGATCCGAAGGGAACCATTAGGTACACGGACACCCAAGGCAGGGGGTTGGGTGGGGCTGGGGACTGCAGCTCCTGACTTTTTTCTTCTCTTCCCTCGTTCCAAGGAGGCAACAGCCCAGCCGATCAATAAGATGAGTTGACAGAGGTGCCTGAAGCACAGCCATTTCTCAGGCGGGACATGAATGGCATCTATCACTAGCAGTGAAAAGCCCCTGAGACAGGATGGAGGCTGGTCCCATCACCCGCCTATATATTCTTCTCTGATAAACATACCCCCACAAGCTCACCGCAAAGAAAGCATTTCCAGGAGGCATTGTGCCACCCGTTCATCTTTCCAATGGACATTTTCTCGTGTTGCTCCTCAGCCTTTTCCAGGCTCGTGGCCACTGGCTGGGCCACCTCTAAAGACCTCCCCTACCCCATTTTATTCCTGTGGGTCGTGTTGAGGGAGCAGATCTCCCAGGGAATGCTGGTGGAGGGTTGGTGGCGGCTCCTGGCTCCCGGGGAGGTGTTGCAGAGACCCATGTGCTGTTGAGAGGCATTCCAAATTAAATGACTCCAGGGAGGCCACACCTCATCAGGCCTTCCTCAGTTCTTGGAGAGGAAAAAGCATTATGCTGCCAGAGTCATTGCCTAACATGCCTTTTTTCCCACTCTTCTTTCTTTAAGAAAAAAAAGAGTCTGGGTATTGCAGCCAAGGTGAGTCAAGGGTTCTGCCTCCTCACCCCGGGGCAGATATCCCTTGCTGGGCTTGGTCAGAGCGAGGTGGGGAGCAGCCAAGAGTGCCAGGACCTAGTTCTGAAATAGACAACACAGGCACACGCCCACTGGGGCCCTTTTCTCCCTTCCTCCCTATACATATTGAATGGGAAACCAAAATCACTGCATCCACACATCCTCACTGTAAAGGGCAGCAGGTAGGGTGTGTGAATGGCAAGGAAGGTCTCACTGGCCTCAGTTTGAACCCATAGCATGAAGAGGTTATAGGCCTTAAAAGTTAGGAACATAGCATAATGAGATCATCCCACTCCAAAGTCAGCTTAGAGACCTGTAGAACATTCATGGGTCACACTGAAGAAAGTATTTCCTAGAGGAAAATCTATCTAATCCAGAACTTCTCAGCCCGAGCACCATGCCATCGTAAGCCCCATATGACTATTAGTTGTGGGGGGCTGTCCTATGCATTGTAGGATGTTTAGTGGCATCTGTTGTCTCTACTCACTACATGACAGTAGCACCCTCCCTGCCTCCCACCCCAAGGCATAGCAACCAAAAATGTCTGCCAAATGTCCCCAGGGGCAGAAACTACCCCAAGGGGAAAACACTGCTCCAAGCAAAGCTACAGAGGTGGGAATGAGCCCTGTATGTCCAGCATTTAGAGAGCGACATTCCAGAACTGCTGAATTAACACCCATGTCATCGAGTTGCCAAGCGAACTAAAAGAAATGGGAAGGAGTTCACGACACAACCTTCATCAGCTCCCTTTTCTGGAAGGCCTCTCACGTGCCAAGCTTGTGCCGAGAGCTCAGCACACACCACGCCTGACAAGTATTAGTGGTTATTAATCCCAGTGCCATGCACGGGTGACTCAGAGCAACGGGCAGCCAGAGGCATCCCTTTCGCCAAATATGGCCAATGTGGGATACTGTGGCCAGGATGCATTCCCTGCTGCACAAGGAGAAAGAGCATGTGTTTTCAGCCTCTTCACGGATGTGGCATCGAACTGGGGATCTTTCTGGAACCAGGATGAGCTAGAGAACTGAGCCAGGCTCCTACTGGAAGATCACTGGCCCAGGGAACCCCTTACCCACCCGACCCCCACCTCACATGACTTGTGCATTTGCTGGCCACTTACTTATGCCGTACTACCCCAAGAGTTGGACCTACGGCATCTGCGTCACCCAGGAGCTCGTTAGAAATTCAGAATCTCAGGCCCCAGCCCTGACCTTCCAATGCAGAATGTGCATTCTAACAAGATCCCCAGGTGACTTCTGAATGCACTAAAGTTGAGACACTGCTTTATCAAAACAGTACAAGGCTGCGAGCATCTGTCAGCATTTCCAAGTGTGCACAGACGCACTGCAACAGCTTTCTCTCGCTAGATTCATACATTTAACAATATGAATTGAATGCTTGCCAGGTGTCCTGCCCTAGTGTAGCCCATAGTCCGGAAGCCCCTCACCACCCCCCACCCCAGGCAGGTGACTACAGAGGACGTCCTTCAGGTCACACAGCAGGGAAATGAAGCTCCAACAGACTTGGGGCAAATCCTGCTGATAATAACCAGAGCACGTCTAAGAACTCAGACATCCTTTTCCCAAATCCTGGCTGCTTCTACTGCACCCATACAACTTTTCAGCTACAATCATGAGGGCAAAAAAGAGGAAACAGAAGTTTCTGCCACTGAGTCATAAGAAGGCAGGACTGGGGGCTGGGAGGTCACAGAGACTGACCCCCAGCTTCAGCTATGAACTCATCTAGAACCAGAGACAGTTTAACTCACTGGGGTGGATTGGCTTTGCTCAAAGCACTTCACCAGTTCATCAGTTCCAAATCAAAGGTGTTTAAAGAACACCCATTAAAAAAATACAAAGCAATCACAGCACCTGAGATTTTAATCAGCCTGAACCTTCAAGCTGTATCTTCCGATCCTTTTAACTCGAGATGGAGGTCCAGATTATGTCCACTCTGTGAACTCCAAAATCCCAGCCCAAGTCCTTTTCTCATTTGGGTTTCCTAAAACTTGAAATCGTTTTTGTTGTCATTTAGCTCTATTTAGCGTAGTTTCGTTTTCTCATAAAGATGTCATGAGACCTGGTTTTAGGCATCCAGCAGCTCCAAAGCTATGTGGTGCCAGAGAAATTACTCGAGAGCCTCAGTTTTCTCATCTGTAAAATGGGAAAATGAAAAATAACTTCAGAGAGTTCCTGGGGGCATCCAGCGGGCTAACGTGTGCACTGTACTCAGCCCCAGCCTGAGTCCTGGCATGTAAGCAGCAAATAACAGCTCCCTTCTCCCTCCCTGTTTTTCTGAGAACATCCCAGGGGGCTGCTGAGGGCTGACGACATCTGATGAATCCTCTGAGGGGTTCTCCAACACATCAGGATGAGCTGCTCAGAGTACAAAGGAGGTAGAGCCCGATTCAAACAAAGAGGTTGGAGCCCTTGCTGCCTACAGGACTGCAGGTAGGCTCCCTGGCACCTTGGACAGTGTTCTGTGGGCCTTCTGTGATGCTCGGGAAAATAAGACAGCAGTGAAAGTCTCAGCTGGGGCATGAGTCTGTGGGTCTTAGGGACACCTGACATTCTCGTGTCCTCAGGGAACGCCCTACTACAAGAGCCTTAGACTGCCCCTGAGATAGACGCTAAAAATGCCAGACATCCATTCCCTCAGCCTTCCTTGCAGCTAAAAGCAGCCACCAATGGCCCTGAGAGGACTTTGACTCGGGAACCAAGGCCCAGTAAAGAACCCAGTCTGCTGAAGACGCCCGGGGAGTGGGGGCGGCATCCAGCTTCTGCGGGCTAAGCAGTGGGACTGTTTCCAGTGGTGATGATGGAGATTTTCTGGAGATGAGATCTAGACAGGCTGAGCCTAACTCTCTTGCCCCCCTAAAGAGTCTGTGAGCTGCCTAAGTCCCTTAGGAGATTATTTCTATGTCGAAATGAACCGGTGTCTCTTGCTGACACTAAAAACCCTGATGGAAGCATCTCTCGGTTTAATTTTTGGACTTTTTGGGGGGGGGGTCATAGATCATTTTATTCCTTATTAAGTACACCACCCAAACTAGGGCTACCAGCAAGCCCATATGGCATTTTATACAAATTTGAAAATCTCCCCCTTCCTCAAAGCAAAAAAAAAGAAAAAAAGTTAATCAGTTCTCAATACTAACAATACTAGAGGAAAACAATAATTTCACATAACTTAACACAGGTAAATGATTCATCATAAAATGATTAAAAATTCAAATGTTTAATGATAATATAAGAAATTTCAGTCACTTGGATCTAATTGTTATAAAATCAACAGACATCTTGCTTTTGTAGAAATAATTCTTTTTGATGGTTTTAATGCTTAACTTTAAAAATAGCTTATATTTTATAAAAATGATCACCAGATTGGTAGTCTTTCTTGTAAAATTGTGGTCTTTATTATTGGTTTTAAAGTATTTAATTTTCTTAATTAATTTATTTATCTTTCTGGTATATAGTATCATGTTTTAGTCACACAGATACATACATACATTCATTTTCATATTCTTTTTCATTATTGGTTACTACAGGATATTGAATATAGTTCCCTGTGCCAACATGGATAGACCTGGAGATCATCATTCTAAGTGAAGTAAGCCAGAAAGAGAAAGAAAAATACCGTATGATATTGCTTATATGTGGAATCTAAAAAAAAAAAAAAGACACAAATGAACTTATTTACAAAACAGAAACAGACTCACAGACATAGAAAACAAACTTATGGTTACCAGGGGGAGAAGTGGGTGGGAAGAGATAAATTGGGATTTTGAGGTTTCCAGATACTAACTACTATATATAAAATAGATAAACAACAAGTTTATACTGTATAGCACAGGGAACTATAATTTCTGGTCTTAAACGTAGCTTGTGGAGAGGAGGAAGCACATACTGATGGAGAAATCCCCACCACTGACCCACCTCTGCTATGTCTGAGTGAGTGCTTCTCAAAATGAGCTCCTGGGAACACATGCATGTGAGTCCACTACCCTGTACCCAGGGCACTGATGAAAATGCAGATCCCTGGCCCTCATTCCTCAGATACTGAATTAGCATCTTTGGAGCTGGGGTTCAGAAATATGCATTTTTAGCAAGCCCCCCCCAATTATTTTGCTCACTGAAGTGTGAGAACCAGTGTTCTAGGGTGCTTCCTAACTGTCTCCACAAAGTCAGCTGGAACATCTCTGTGGCTCAGGATGATAAAGGGAAGAAACTCCTTGCAACCAGAGGCAACTGGCCATGGGGGGTGCGGGGGCGGGGGGACTCTGAATGCCACAAGCCCCATCCAGCTTCCCTGTGCACTAAGGGGGACCCATAGCTCACACACCACCACCCTCCTTGTGACCACCCTGGGTGTGAGGTTCTGGACTACTCCAGGGCAACTTACTCAATCTGTGGTCCGCAGACCAGTGTCTGGTCCAGCCTGTTGTCAGTCTGCCACACCATAACCAGAGAAATCGAAAGTAAGCATTTAGAAGCTACTTTGACAGTTTGCCAGAATAATTTTACGTTTGCTGAATCCATACCGGGCATATCTTGTTTGATGGCGCTTTGCAGCTACTTCACTTTTTACAAATTGTGGCAACGCCGCATCTCGTTTAAGTCCATTGGCATCAAGCTTCCAACAGCATTTGCTCACTTCGTGTCTGTGTGTCACATTTTGGTAATTTTCGCAATTTTTCAGGCTTTTTTCATTTTCATTTGTGACGGTGATCCTTGATCAGTGATCTTTGATGTTATGACTATAACTTACCAAAGGCTCAGATGATGGTTAGCATATTTAGCAATAGTCTTTTTAATTAAGGTAGGTACTTTTTTTAGACATAATACTATTGCACACTTTGTAGATTGCAGCATAGTGTAAACATAACTTTTATATGCACTGGGAAACCAAAACATTTGTGTGACTCACTTTATTGCGATATCTGCTTTATTGCAGTGGTCTGGAACCAAACCCACAATTATCTCTGAGGTATGCCTATAATACAGTTTTGGGCTTATATTTTGTGTAACTCTGTTTTCTATTCCATTTTTCCTAGTAATATATTTTATTGTATTTTAACAAAAACATTGGTCCATGATATATTGGAGGAAAAAAAAAAAAGCTGGTCCTTCACCAAAAATTGTCCTTCATGACCAAGCCATGGTCTATGGCATTCCAAAATAATCATCCAATCAATAACCCATAAGTCAGTTTGAATAGGGTTAGTGCAGCCTCAGACTCTGAACTCCACCTGGAGATACCTGCCACTGGGGACTGTGACCTTCTCTCTCATCACCCATAAGTCCTCTAACTCCAAGACTGTCCCTTCTCCTCCTGACTTCGGAGTTGACTTTTTGTTTGCTTGGAAAACCACAAGGCAATCTTCATGCTTTTCCCAGGATCAAGGTAAGCGCCAATCCCAGTGCCATCCCCACCCAAGCTAATACTTGTTTCAAGATTAAATGTGACCAAGCTCCCAGGACTTTTAGGGTTCAAGTGTTTAATTATGACAGTGGTAATTACCATCTTCTCTTTAAATTCCTTGTCTAGAACATCCATTTCTAACATTGTTTGAAATGAAAAGCCTAATTTTTCAATTTTACTGACCTATGATTTAAGTATACTGAAGCACACATATGTAAAGTATACAATTTGATCAGTTTCAAAATATGTATATAACTGTGAAACTGTAATCAAGAGGGCAGACATTTCAGTTAGCCCCAAAAGTTTCCTTGTGCCCCTTAACAATCTCTCCTTCCTCCCCCTCCATCCCCAAGTAACAATGAAATCACTAATTTTTTTTCTGTCACTATAAATTGGTTTGCATTTTCTAAAATGTTCTATAAATGAAGTGATCCAATATGTACTTTTTTTGTTCTGGCTTCTTTCACTCAGTGTAATACTTTTGAGATTCATTCACATCAACGTAAGTATTAACAGTGTATTCCTTTTTGTGGCTGAGTAATATTCCATTGCATGGATATACCATAATTTGTTTCATCCACTCAGCTGGAAAAACAAAAACCTTAAAAAAGATCATTAAATTTCCCTAATCTGCCTGAAAGTATAACGAGGAGGAAGAGAAGAAAAGAGGAGAAAGGTGCCAAATTTTCCAAGCCCATTGCCTGCCTAGCATCTTTGCACTTGCTCTTTCCTTGGCCCAGAAGGCTCGTATCCTGAAATCGCTGACACCTTCTCATCACTCACATCTCCACACCAATGTCACTTTCTCAGAGGCCTTCCCCGACCTCCCCAATCATTCTCCTTGTGGCTCCACGCAAGTCACTCTCCATCACTGTATAGTTTCATGCACTCTAAAGTTCTTACCTTTCTCTGAATCTACAGAAATTTCTTTACATCTATCCCCTTCATTAGAATATTGGCTCTAGAAGACCAGAGACATTATCTGTCTTGTTCATGATTATATCCTCCATGCCTAAAATACTGAGCAGATAGTAGGTGCTCAATTAAAGTTGGTCAAATGGATGAATGAATGAATGGGAGGTTTTGCAGACACTATAGATTGAATGCTATTTTTTTAAAGTTGTAAAACCTTCCATTTTGAAAAAATCTCAGAGCTCCCTGATATAGGAAAGATATTTGGGAGGCCACCCACCAACACCGAGGGTGGTGTGAGTGGAGGGGGTGGCTACTCATCAATCAACTCTGAGGCCAGGAGGAGAAAGGACAGAACAACCAAGCCATGGAGACCTGTTTCATGCAACAGTGAGAGACCCCGCCTGGGCCATCGCTGCGGTGCCGGCTGGCTCCGATGCTCCCACAAATCATCCGAAAGCCTAAATCATGTTTAAATCCCTCTGATTGTGACCACCGGGAACTATGAAGGACACTCAGGCATAATTTACATACTGCCAAGCTCCTGAGAGCCTCTAAATAAAGCCCCTGAGGCCCCCCGGGCACCATTTTTGAGGAGAAGGACATCAAGTGACAGATTAAATCGAGTCTGCTCCCTCCATACTGGGAGCGGGAGAAGAAACCTCATTCCCCACTCGCTGACATCTGCGACTGTCTTAAACTCCATTTGCTGTCAGATGCTTCCCAAGGAAGCCGTTACTCCATCGAAACTGGTGCACACGGGCTATTGTCTCTCCCGGTTTACACAACAACGCCACTGCTAACAGGTATTTTTGCTCAGACGCCTTCAT